TCGGCGGCGGCGGCGGCGGCGAGCGGGAGGCGGAGCCGGGCGGGGGCGGCCGCCGCGCCTCCCCTCCCCCCGCACACGCCGGGGCTTCTCAGTGGCCGCCCGAGGAGGAAGTTCCGCTCCCCGCCAGACCCGTGCGCTAGCAACAGCGGCGGCGGCGGCTGCGAGGGCGCAGGCTTTTGGGGGCGCGAATGCCCTTCGTGCCGGCCGTCGAGGGGGCAGCGTCGGAGCTCTCCCCGGAGCCGGGAGCCTGGGGGCGGCGTCGGGAGGCGCGGGCGTGCGAGACCCCCTCCCTGCGACTTCGCCCGGCGCCGCTGCTTCGCCTTCCCGGCGAGGCGGGAGACCTCCCTCCCCGTTGGCAGACTTCCGAGGAGCCCCTTATTTTTCCACCACCGAGGTGAAGAGATTCTGAAATCGAAGCGTCAGGGGTGGTTAAGTGAACCTTCTGCAACTCCTCGGATCTGGTCAGGCTCCCGTTTGGGGCTGCAGACCACATTGAAGCATCTCACTGGGGTGCCGGAATGGAAGACCCCACCTTGCATCCTTTCTGCAGCGTTGCTTGCCTCGTCCGCCGTTAGGAATGAAGAGGAGACTTGTGATAACCCGAGGAGGTACTGAAAGCCAAATGGCAGAGAAAATATCACAGGACACAAACTAGTGATCGTGTGGGGGCCACACACGTTTTTGAATGTAATTGGACGAGCGTGAAAGAGGTGCCCTATTAAAAAGCACAACAGTCCTTTAAGAGGAGCAAAATTGAGTTTCCCCATTTTTGCCAAGATTTTGAAGACTGTTCAATGTATTGTACATTTGATATAAGATGATAACTTTATAAAATATTCTGCCCGAGAGCGTAAACGATGACTACCCCGGCCCTGCTCCCTTTATCTGGACGAAGGATACCACCTCTGAACCTGGGGCCGCCTTCCTTTCCGCATCACAGGGCTACCTTGAGACTTTCTGAGAAGTTTATCCTCCTCCTTATTCTAAGTGCCTTCATCACCCTGTGTTTTGGGGCATTCTTCTTCCTTCCAGACTCTTCAAAACACAAACGCTTTGATCTGGGTTTGGAAGATGTGTTAATTCCCCATGTAGATGCCAGCAAAGGGGCCAAAAACCCTGGAGTCTTCCTGATCCATGGACCTGATGAACATAGACACAGGTTTGTTTATTTCAGAAGTTCTGATATTAACATTTGGCAGAGCAAGGTATAGTTTATTGCATCAGACCGGTCTTAAAATTTTTTTCTTGTTGTTGCAGTAAAATGTAATTTTCCTCGAGTCGTTAGAGTTGTAGTTATTTCAGAACTGATAGAATGGAACCATAGACGGGAAGGGCTCCTAGAACCTAGTCCTCCAGCTCCTTTGTTTTATAGAGGAGAAACGTTTGTGCTCAGAGATGTAGTGCCTCATATGAACGTTTGGGAATGGAGGTATGAAAATTTAATCTAAAGAAATGATGACCTATGCTGCGCCTTCATTTATTAAGAATGTGTTGCATTCAGTCTTAGTGCCACCCTGTGAAATAGACCCATTGAATCCTGACCGCTTCTGTGAGTTTGTTCTCTCCCAGAGGGCTCTTATTCTCTGGCTTGTAGTTAAAGCTTAGTAGTGAATCTTAGCTTTTTAGGAGGGCAAACTATGGGCAGAATATACCTGTGGTGTCTTAGCCTACAGAAATATACTGATTTCTGTTATTGTCAGGGACCTGTTTTGGTGCTCCATATGGAATTAGTTACGTTAAAAATATCATTGAATCTTACAGTCATTTCACTTTGTGTTTTGTAACAAGATTTGTTTATATATTTTAATTTATTTTTTATAATGTGTGAGATGGAGTGTGTCAGGGAACTGTTGCAGTTTATTTGGTTAAAGGGATCACATTTTTCACATCACCAAATTGAGGGGAGGGCTCGGTGATTAGAGCCAAATTGGGGTAAAATGGGAGCTCTAGTGACTGTATCTTTAAATCATTTATGCAATTTGTATCAGAAGAAGAGTTCGGGAAAGTAGTTTATTTTTCTCAAACCTACATTTTTTTTTTAAACTGTTAAATTCCCTCTTTTCCCTGTTTCTTAAAATAATTTTTGAGTGTGTGAAAAAAACTGTGTTTGAATGCTGTTTTCAACTGACATTAGTTTTAACTTTTTATTAAGTAGGAGGTTTTTGGAAAAGCTGAGGTTCAAATGTGAGCCTAAGTTAAATACTTGGGATAATGCAGTGTTGTAATGACAGCTGGTTTTTCCTTATTCTCAATCTTGTTAATTCATTATTTTCTTCCTGATTCTTTGACTTTTGGCTGAACCTTATGGAGTAGTTACTTCTAAAACTGTTTCATGCCATTATTCTGTAACTAAATTTGGACTTTTTGCCATCATTTTCATCTTCTGTACTCTTTTGCATCAGTTCCTTCTATTTTGCCCTTTGCCCTTCGCGACTTCGAGAAAATCTGATGTGATCTGTGAAATATGTTGCTGAAAAATTAGCACTGAAACTACTATTTTCCTGGAGAAACCTTAGTTCCCATGATTTTTATAGAAGCTCTGATAAACATTTGAAAATAAAGGGTGTTAAGACTGGCTTCAGATTTTTTTTTGACAACCATGCATAAACATTGTTTAACTCTATGATTATAGTAATCCGTCACATACTGAGCAGTTTTCTTCACATTTTAAGTGTGGTCTAAAGGTTAAAATATATACAGTATATGGCAACATCCTAGTTTAGAAATATTCACATAGAAAGAGTCTCAGTTAAGTGGAGTTAAAATTTAAGATTTGAATGAGAATAGGTATGTCCATCTTATTCATGTTTTAAAAAGCCTACTTAAATCTCTCAAACAAAAATTCTTAAATTAATAGGACCGTGAATGCATATGTTTGTGTATTGCTATCCCAAATTCTTGGGTTCCTGAGTTTGGAATTAGAGGGTTGGTTATTGAGTTCTCATAGTAAGGGATGGTGGGTGAGCCAGATCCTGAGTTTTGGATAGTAAGAGTCCAGGTAGCAAATGATACTTGTGAGAGTTTACTCCAGTCTATTTAGTTCCTGAATTTAAGAAAACAAGAATTCACATAATGAGGATTTGGGTGAAGAGGGATCCCTGTATTACCTCTATACATATTTCTGTGCTTATATCAGTTTGTTTTTATCTTTGTTTTGTATGTCATTGATTGTTGCTTACCATATCTTTAAATTTTTTTTTTTTTAACGTTTATTTATTTTTTGAGACAGAGAGAGACAGCGCATGAACGGGGGTGGGGCAGAGAGAGAGGGAGACACAGAATCGGAAGCAGGCTCCAGGCTCTGAGCCATCAGCCCAGAGCCCTACGCGGGGCTCGAACTCATGGACCGCGAGATCGTGACCTGGCTGAAGTCGGACGCCCAACCGACTGAGCCACCCAGGCGCCCCTGTTGCTTACCATATCTTAAAGCACAGTCTACCAATTTCAAATTTGAGCAATGAAATCCATTTCAAAGCAGAGATCATTCAAATAACAAGTTTAAAATGTGAGACATAAAACATCAAGCTAATGCAGACACATTATCTTTATAAAAATCATGCAGAAAGATAGTATTTTAACAGTTGGTGCTAAAATCATACGTATTTTGGGTGTGGGTCAAAAAAACATCTTTCTTAATTTGAAAAGTACAAGTTGATAATTTATCTTAATTTTGTGTATGTGTAGAAGGGTGCAGGGTAGAGGGATGAGGAACCTTACTTTAATGGATAAGTAATGGAAAATAAATCATGGCCATTATTTCTTATTCACAGTCTTTAAGGGGTACTTGTTGCATTGACTTTTCTTTATTAATGAGTTAGCTTAGTATTGTAGTTAGGTGCTTAAGTTCTGAGTCTTGACTACATAGATTCATACCCTAGTTTGTCACTGATTTAGATATATGATCTTGAGTAAATTTTCATACTCTGTGCCTAAGTTGCTTCCTCTGGATGACGGCATTTACTTTACAGATTGTTATTTTTATTTTTATTTTTTTTTAATTTTTTTTTTCAACGTTTATTTATTTTTGGGACAGAGAGAGACAGAGCATGAACGGGGGAGGGGCAGAGAGAGGGAGACACAGAATCAGAAACAGGCTCCAGGCTCTGAGCCATCAGCCCAGAGCCTGACGCGGGGCTCGAACTCACGGACCGCGAGATCGTGACCTGGCTGAAGTCGGACGCTTAACCGACTGCGCCACCCAGGCGCCCCACTTTACAGATTGTTATATTGAATGAGATACTAACATACAAAGTACTCAAAATAGTTCTTAGTATTTAGTAAGTGGTCAATAAATATTAGGAATTATTATCAATAATTATTGTTTTAATTGAATTACTTTAATATTGAGGCCACTTTAAATACCATACATGTTTCTGAAAAGTTAGATACAGATTAATATTTTAAAAGCATACCAGAATCTTGTTGTCTGAAGGAACATTTAAAAAAAATTTTTTTTTTCAATGTTTATTTATTTTGAGACAGAGAGAGACAGAGCATGAATGGGGGAAGGTCAGAGAGGGAGACACAGAATCCAAAGCAGGCTCCAGGCTCTGAGCTGTCAGCACAGAGCCCAACGTGGGGCTCGAACTCACGACTTGAGCCGATGTCCGACGCTCAACCAGCTGAGCCACCCAGGCGCCCCAAAGGAACATTTTATAACCAAAGTAGTTAGTGACAAATGTGTATTGCGTGTCTACTGTGTGTCAGGCCCTGCTTTAATGGAGCTTCCCATTAAAGGAGGAGGATGATGGGCATTAAATAAGTAAATTTATTGTTGAAGTGTGAGGAATGTTATGAAGTTGTACTCGGTGCTGTCAGAGTACATAATGGTGCGATTTATCCCTGTGGATTGGGGTCGTGGGACAGGCAGTGCCAATAGGGAAGGCTTCGTTGAGGAAGCATGACTGGCTCAGAGTCTTAGAACTAGTAGATTGCTAAGTGAACTAGAGATGTGGGAAAAAGTGGTCAAAGCAGAGGATACGACATGTGTGAGAACCCTAAGAAAAAAGCCTGGCACCATTGAGGACCTGAGAAATGTTCGGTATGGCTGGTGTGGGGCTAGATGAAGACTACATGAGAGGTCAGATTTGGCCTTCTTGTTCAAAAAAGTATGGGTTAGTTGCCAGCTTTCACATATCAGGAGATTTCCCACGAAGGTCTAGATTTCTGATTTCTCTTGAAAAAATTAGAGGCTATGGTATTTTCAGATGGCAATTTTCAGATTCAGATCAGAATCCCTGGGCAGGCTCCTGGAGAGTCTGCAGTTAAGTATTTTGGTCTTTATCTTGAGTACTGTAGGAAACCAGTAAAGGGTTTTCATGAAAGCAGGGCAATGCCATAATCATTTTTTAAAAATTTAAATAATCACTATGATTGCAGTGTAAACACTGGATTGGAGAGGAGGAGGAAGAAATGTAAAATTAGGAGAGTCTAGGTCACAGAGGAGATTGGCTTAGACCACACTGGTGATAGTGGAGGAGAGAAATTCGTGGAGAAAAGTGGTTGATTCACAAGATGTTGAAGTGTTAAGTTTCACAGAAGTTGATTGTCAATTGAATATGGGGGCTAAGGGAGGAGGAGGAGGCAGTCCAGGATAACTCCCAGTTTCTGGGTGACATGGCTATGGATTACTAAGACGTATATACTATGTGGAATGAATAATTTATATGATTGATATTATATAAGAATTTAAGATAAAGCATTTTCATGGAAAAACCTGTATGTTCCCTTCTATTTTGTGAAGTGAAGTGGTTCACAAACAGTCCATAGTTTTCAGATGATAATAATGTAAAACACACTGTTTGATGTTGCTGATAGTTTTAACATCTGTGATTTCAAGGTAACTAAAACAGGGGTCAGTTATCACACAACATGAATGTTGTTATAAATATACACTGGATATACATAAAGTATCATGTTCATAATTTGTGTACATAATAGACCTATCTAATTAAAATTTTACTTATTACCTTCATTTTTGAAACTGACATTTTATATAATGGCATTGTATAAATGGGCTTTGTGGTTTTGTTTTGTTTTTTAAATATTTATTTGAATTGCCAATGTGTTTCATCCTCTAGTCAGGATTTTGTTAGTATGAATTGAATACTTGAAGGTATGTTAACTTCTGATAGTTTCCTCAAACAGAAAGAACAAACA